TGGTTCCTGCCCTGGCCCAGGAGCAGGCAGGAGGGCAGGGGCGGCCTGGAGCCGGGGGCGGAGTCCAGGGCTCAGGACCCGCGGAGCAGTTGCAAGACCCCCGAGCAAGTGGCCCAAAGCACGAGGTGTCCCCGTGATACTGTAGATGTTAACATAAGCAACACTGAGGAAAAAGAGTTTTTGTAAAAATGGTGCAATATACATATCTGCATAATGAGATCCAGTAACAAGCAAAGGTCAAAGTAAGCTAAATATCAAGGCTGAGTGCAGCCTAGTAGACTGTATATAATGGCCCAGGAGAGTAGTGGAAAGTGGTCGCACACCAGGAAGCCTCCCAGCCCCAGCGGTTAGGGAAGTCTGGGGGCTGGTGTTGCCCTGGGTTGCCCCTAATGCACACAGGTCTCCTTCCAGAACCGCAATCCCTTGGTGGCTGTGTATTACACCAACCGGGCCTTGTGCTACCTGAAGATGCAGCAGCACGATAAAGCCCTGGCAGACTGCAAGCATGCACTGGAGCTAGACAGCCAGTCTGTAAAGGCCCACTTCTTCCTGGGGCAGTGCCAGATGGAGATGGAGAACTATGATGAGGCCATCGCTAACCTGCAGAGGGGTGAGTGCCTGCCAGTCAACAGGCAGCTGGGCCTGACTCAAGGCATTGACAGTCTTCATAGTCTATTGACCTTCCCTGCTAACAGGAGTGCCCTGGCTGCTTTTAACTTACCGGCAGGGGATGTGGCTGTTCTCTGTTCATAGGTGCTAGGATGGAGGCCCTAGCTAAGCTGCAGGCAGGCCTCCCATCCTGAACGGGCACAAGTAGCGCCCACCTGCAAAACTACAGCCTGTGAATACAAAGTAGAAAAGGCTGCAGTTGAGCAGGGGACAGCTTGGAGTGACCGTATGTGCACAGCTTCTCCCTAGGCCGGGGGTGTTTGGAGCACCAGTTGAAAGCCTGTGGGAGTTCAGTGCCTGCAAGTGCCTCTGTGCTTGACCACACACCAGTCATGTGGCTGCGGATGAGGCCCAAGGGGGAGTCAATTTCTTTGGCAGCTGCTTGGAATTCAGTCCCCAAGCAGTTTCTCTGCAGCTGGTATGGTGGGGTTTGGGTTGTAGCCTGCAGCTTCAAGTTTAATGAGCCCTCCCCATTTGCTGCTTTGTGCTACAGCAGCAGCATGACTTAGGGCAGTGCCACTCAGGAGCATATTAGCCACTTAAAGCTGTAGATGTCAACTTCCGTCTGCCCTGCATGTGTAGGTGCTGGCGTGGCCGGAGCAGAAAGAGTGAAACCATCATCTAGAGGCTGGTATTGCACTTCTGGTGATGAGCTGCACTGCCAAGTGGATTTAGGAAGGCTTCTCTGCTGACCTCCACTTTGTCTCCTCAGCCCACAATCTTGCCAAGGAGCAGCGGCTGAATTTTGGGGATGACATTCCAAGTGCCCTGAGGATTGCCAAGAAGAAGCGCTGGAACAGCATTGAGGAGAAACGGATCAACCAGGAAAATGAGTTGCACTCCTATCTGACCAAACTCATCATGGCTGAGAAGGAGAGGTAATGTGGGTAGGAATCTCTTCCCCCTCAGCAGCTAGGAGGGATGGCCTGGAAGAATACCAGGCCTCTGCAAACAGGGGGAAGGAATTGGAGAGTCCTCTGAAGGATGAGGGCAGACTGGCCCCATAGACTGACTTTGCTATCTGGGGTGTGAGGAAGGCAAAGGGGTTGAACACCTGCTGGCATCTGCTGTTGCCCTAAGGAGTCTGGTGCTGTTATAGATGGTGGAGTCCCTTTCTGAGAAAGTCAGAGGCTTTGTGCCAGGGACCTGTGTTAATTGGGAGGTGACCGCTCCTCCTTCTCCAGCATGGTGTTCCTGGTTGCTTGCCAAAGCTTGCTCTGTGTTGTAATATTCTTCTGCATCTGTCCTAGGGAGCTGGACGAATGCCGAAGGACACAGCAAGAGGAAAACATGGATGAAAACCGGGGCAGGGCTCAACTGGCCAGCATTGAAGCCAAACATGTAAGGCATCTCCCTCTTTGTATATTTGGGGCTCCCAGAGGGGTTGGACTGTTTCAGTGTGTTTTTGCTTGGGGAGAGCTGCAAACCTGGGGGGCGCTGCTTCCTTGGGCCACCCTAGCATGAAAGGTGGTAGCCAGACTTTTTTGAGGTGAGCATAGACCTATGGGTGACCTCTGGGTGGTTGAACCCATGGGGGCACCAAGAGATGCCACAGTAAAACCTTTGTGGGAATTCTGGAGCACAAAGGGGAAGTGGCTGTTACCATGTCCTGCTTTCCAGGCTGCTGTGCTGAGCGAGGATGACTGTTGGGAGCAGAGCTATAATCACAATTGCAACAGGTCAAGGAAACAAAGCAGGTTTCCTCTCACAGTGGCTGCTGTCTCCAGTGCTCAGTGTTTGTATAATGCAGGCTGCTTCTGAAGCTCTTTTTGCACCAGGTGCCTGTCCAATACCAGCAGCTGCAGCCCATGTCAAAAATAGGTTGAATGGTATTGCATCCCCTATTTATATCTTGTGCCCTGTCCATGCTGTGCAATGCATCACTCAAGGTAGCTTGTCTGCTGTGGTGTCTGCTCAGGGCACAGTGGGCTTTTTTGTGGATTCACGTCACAGCCTTATCTCCTACCAGTTCTTCTGGCACCTTAAGAGACTCTTTGGAAGCCTTGGCGCTGCTGCTGCTGCTCTATCAACCTATTGGCCTCTATGATTTGACATGCTACACCATGCTCCACCTCCTCCATTATGCTGCCACTGTGCAGCCTTCTGCTTGACCCTTGCATCCAGCTGTCCTGTACAGCGGTCAGGAGCACTAACCATTTAGTGGTGCTGGATGCTTTCTCACTTTCATGGGCAAGAGCAGCACCTGTAAGAAGGTTCTGTCTGAATGCAATATCCCCCTGCCCAGCGCTGGCAGGAGCCAATGGAGATTGGCTGAGGGTGGGAGACCTAAACTGGTCCTGGAAATCCCTGGGCACATCGAGCCCCTTTTCCAACTGCTCCTGTGAGCCACATCTTCTGTGCAAGTGGCAATACTGCCGTGAGGCCCCAGTGCTGTGGGGAGAGGCAGTGATCTCCATCTGGGACATGGACAGAGACCATATTCTTCAGGCTCCAATGCTGAAGCAGCAATGAAGTCCTGCAGGCCCCTCCCATTAAAGAGGCTGTTTCTCTTCCAGGACAAATACCTGGCAGATATGGACGAGCTCTTCTCTCAGGTGGATGAGAAGAGGAAGGTGAGGCTGTGTTGAACAGGTGCTGCTGCCCTTGTCAGGATGGCATGTGGTGTGCTTGGGGGTGGGGCGGACCTGCTTTTGCTAGCTTGGCTCAAGGTACCAAAGAGACCCAGTAGCTTATCCCACCCTTCCCATTCTCCTCCCCCTGACTGCTGCCAGAGCCATCTGGAACTCTCTGGCAATATCTGTCTAAAATGGGAGCTTCTGTGCCAGGTGCCTGGAGCTATGTGATGAGGTAGAGCTGGGGGTGGACTGTCCCAGCATCGGCCAGTTGTTCTCCAAGGGTCTTGTGCATCTGCCATGGATGGAATAAAAGCTGCATGGTAGTGGCTCTATCTGGGGTGGGATTTCAGGGGGAGGAAACAAACCCTTGGAATGGAGAGATGTAGAAACCAATGCCTCCACCTGCCCCTCCTGGCTTACCTGATGTCTGCCATGAGTGAAGGACCTTTCTTGTGCCCTCACCTGGCAGGAAGGCAGGGCAGCAGGGGTGGAGCCCCTTCAGAGAAGAAGCTATGAGCTCTGTGTGGCTCCTGTCCATGCTGAGGTCCTGTCCCTGCTTCAGCGGCTTGTTGGCTTGTGGCAGCGGCACGGGGAAGGGAGAGAATGAGGGTCTTGTAGCTCAGCAGCTCCCTAACGCTGCACCTCACTCTCTTGAGTCAGAAGCGGGACATCCCTGACTACCTGTGTGGAAAGATCAGTTTTGAACTGATGCGAGAGCCCTGTATCACGCCCAGCGGGATTACCTATGACAGGAAAGATATAGAGGAACATCTCCAGGTAATGGGGGAGCCTGAGTATTCAGCATCTGGGGGAGTGGGGAGGTTGGGTGGGTGAGAGATGTGGGAAAGACTCTTAGGAGACAGTGACTTAAAGGTGTATTGGCTTCTTCAGCTGAAGTTGCTGCCAGTGCTCTCTCTGTTCCTGTGACTTTGAAGAGTTTTTCCCTCTGAAGTGTGAAAAACTGTAAATTTTGGAAACTGCCTTTATAGGGGGAATGGTGCCACAGGCTAAACCTCCAGCCCTTCCCTGTCAGCTTTTCTTGAGCAAGAGAGAGTCAGAGGGTAGCTTCCCCCATCTTGGAGCCTCTTTAGGCACTGTGCTGCTACTGTAGCTAGCCCCAGGCCTTGATCATGAGGGAGGAATCAGCATTGGTGCAGGGTGTGGCTGTCCATTCCTTCTTCTGGATGGATGGTAGCACTGGTGAGTAGAACAGCACTTTTGAGTTGAAGATGCCCTACTTAGTCCAGCTTGGTCCTGCTTACCCTGTCCTGCCTTTCCTTGTGCCATGCCAGGGCAGTAAAGAACAGCTGTTCTGTGCGAGTTTCCAGGCCCTGCTTTAACTTCAGCTATCCAGGGCTCCTCGGTGAGGGGCTGTTCACTCTGGGATCCAGCTCTTCCTGAGTCTGTCTGTTGCCTCAGGCTCCTATTGGGAAGAGGAGGGAGGTGGAAGGGCTTTAGTGTGAGCAAAGTTGAAAGATGCTTCATTTAAGTAGTGGGACCTAACTAATTGTCAAGAGATCATTTACAGCTCTTGGGGTCTGTTCCTGTTCATTGTGTTGCTCCTCACACTGCTCTGGGGCCAGATTCTTTCTCCCAGGTTCCCACAGCAGCAGAAGCGGTTGGGGCCTGTGATGGAAACCATTTCTGCTCAGTAGGAGGGAGAGATGATGCACTTCTGACATCAGTCTCTGGCTGGGGCAAGGTGTGGTCCTAAGAAGGAAGTGGTGATCCAAGGGGTGGCGAGAGAGGGTTGAATTGCCTGGCTGTGGTATCTGGTCTTCATTGTGCAGATAGGGTCAGACCCAGGGTCTGCAGCCTAGGGGACTGCTTGGTAGGGGGCCAACAGGCTTAGGGTGGTAGTGTTGCGGGGAAGCTTAGCTCAGTTGGCTCTCAGTCCATCCTCCTCATGGCCTCCCTTCCCTTTCAGCGTGTGGGACACTTTGATCCTGTGACCCGAAGCCCTTTGACCCAGGACCAGCTGATTCCCAACCTTGCTATGAAAGAGGTGATAGATGCGTTCATATCAGAAAATGGTTGGGTAGAAGATTATTGACAGAAGAGTGAAGTTGGCTTGACTGGATTCTCTCTGCAGCCCCAGCTGTGGCAGCACAGGCATGTCCTGCTGCAGACTGCTCTTCAAGCTTGCTGGGCTGGCACCATGCCTTACTCACTCTCCGTCTGTCTCTCTCTTCTTGGATGTCTGGAGATCCATTGGCAGTGCTGGACTAAGGGTGTTTTCATATCATCTCCCTGAAACCACAGCTGGGCTAGACCATCTGGAGCAGGAGTATGAAGGAACCTCCCAGCTTCATTCTTCCACTGGGTTCTTTGCAACATGGTAGGCTGGAGCAAGACCACCTTATGGGGGCGGGGAGTACATGTCATGAAGATGGCTCCCCTGGAAAGCACTTTGGGAGGAGCAGGGGCTGTGCGTGGCCAACCAGCATCACTGCTTCTCATCATCTGCCTCCACATCTCAGCTGTAGAGAAGGGCCCTCCTCCACATCACAGCAATCAGCTCTCCAGAGAGTTCCCTCCAGCCCTCACCCAGCAGAAACCCTGCTCCTGGAGGTATGCAGAAGCCTCCCAGTGGTAGTGAGGGCCAGGGATGAGCTGCCCTCTCCCCCTCCCTCTGAATGTACATACTTGGTGTTCCCGTGGCACTACATCTCCCTGCTGTCCAGCGTAGCTCTGAATGTTGCCCTGTAAATAGCCACATGCTGGGGAGAGGGCAGACAATGGATGGTAAGTTATGGAGACATTGACTTGGCTGAGGCTTGTACTGGGAAAGCACTGTTCCACAGGATGGGGGCTGGGAATTGCTGGAGGCCCAGGGCTGTTAGTTCCCCATTAAACACTTGGATTTAAGTTCATTTTTTTTTTGTTCTAATTAAAACCCTTTAAAAAAACCAAGTAGATGAATCCCGTCTCTAGTTGCTGGGAGTTGTGGTGTAAGTTTGGCTCAGACTGCTGGCTCCCCGAGCTTGCTCTTTGGAAATTTGCCAATGTCAATAAATATTTCAGCAATAAGTGTTAAATAGCCTGAGTGGTTCGTGGCCACAGGGATCCCTCCTTGGGAAAGGCCAGTGGAAGCTTCTCCCATCCCTAGAGCAGATGGGAGCTGAAGGGGAGAGCTGCATGATTAGGGCTACCCGAGCGATGGTTAAGCTGCTTCCATGCAGAGCTTGTTTGGATGGGATGCAGCACCTCCAGAGGCTCCTTGCCTCCATGCTGTAGATGAGGCTAGCTACAGTCTTTGCTGGGATGTGCACACGTACGGTGTGTCCCTTGAGTGTGAGACCTGGGCTGCCTTCCCAGTTGCATGT